TTAATTAATACAGCAATTGTCCCAGGCCACCCTCGGCCAATTTCAGGCATTAAAAGGACAGCAAGAAGCTATCCAAGCGCAACAGGAGGCGAATCAAATTCAAAGCGAAACTAACGAACGAAGAGATCCGGCAGGCCCCAGTAGCGGGGAGAAACACCGCTCAGCCTGAACAAATTGCACTACAAAAGATGACAGAGCTTGATGATGTGGAAGCGTATGTAACCACCTTTAAAAGAACTGCATCTCGAAACGCATGGCCCAAAGAGCAGTGGGCTGGGAGAGTAGCCCCTTATTTAATTGGAGAAGCCCAAAAAGCCTATTATGATTTAAAAGAGGAAGATGCAGAGAATTATGAGACTCTGAAATAGGAGATATTGGCAAGACTAGGGGTAACCATGGCGATACAAGTGGTCCGGTTTCACAATTGGAGATACCAGATAAACAAGCCTACGAGGTCTCAGATGTTTGACCTGGTACATCTGGCAAAGAAATGGCTCCAGCCAGAAGAATTAAACCCAGGACAGGTGGTAGAAAGGGTGGTGTTGGATCATTTCGTGAGGAGTCTGCCTGTTCACCTGAAAAGGAAAGTAAGTGAAGGGGATCCCCAGACCCTAGATCAAGCCGTGGACTTGGTGGACAGACACCATGCCACAGAGGCCCTGATTAGGGAGAAAAAGGGGGACTTTCGGAAAGAGGAGAGAAGAAGCCCCAAGAGTCTGGAAACCGAAATGAAGTATCGGCCGATAACGTCTAGTGATTATCGTGGACCTATACAATTTAAAAACCCCCTTCGGGAAAGGTCAGACTCAAGGCCCCGGCCATGGAAAGAAACCCGACGATGTTTTAATTGTCAGGAAGAAGGGCACTTAGCCAGCCACTGCCCCGGCCTGTCTGAACCCATGCTGGTAGACCCCAGAGACGAAGCCAAATGTAACTACCTTACAGCATGGGTCCCAACCTGCGAGGATCCCCATCTTACGAAAGTCGAGATAGGGGGAGAACCCGTCGAGGCCTTGTTGAACTCCGGCAGTACTGTGACCCTGGTGACCCCTACAATACTTCCGGGAGAACTGGAGATCTAGAGAACAGAGGGAATACCTATTACTTGCATTCACCGGGACACCAAGGTCTATCCGACGGTAGAAATGAGCATCTCTACGGAACAGGGGACCTACCGTTCAACGGTAGGAGTGGTTGAGCAGTTGCCGTACCCTGTCGTACTGGGACGAGACCGTCCCCACTTCCTCCAGATTTGGAACACTGCCCAAACAGCTAGGCTAAGACCAATCCCCTGCCCTGAAGACCGGGGTGACGCCCCTACTGACAACCCTGATGAGACGGACCCAAAAGAAGGAGGAGCTGAACTTGGAGTTGAGTTTGAAAATATGGATTTACTGGACTGGGAACTCCCAGAACGTTGTGGTAAGTTTGGGTCGGCCCAATTAGAAGATGGAAACTTGAGGTATGCGTGGGGACATGTCAGGAAAATTGATGGGAAGTGGTGTACTGATCCTAGTACAGTGAGTTACCCATATTTCATGACAAAGAATAATCTCCTCTATCAGATGCAGCAGAAGGGACAGGAAGAAGTGGAACAACTCCTTATTCCCTTAGTCCGAGAGACTATTCTCTAGGTTCTTTTGGCCAGGGATCTATAAGGCCATCGAGAAGTATTGTCGGGAATGCCCTGAGTGTCAGAAAAGTGCGCCACAACCTTACTATAGAAACCCTTTGATTCCCTTCCCAATTATTGAAACCCCCTTCGAACGGATTGGGATGAATTTGGTGGGGCCCCTGATCAGAACCACCAAAGGTCACCAGTATATTTTAGTAATAGTGGACTACGCTACAAGGTATGCCGAAGCCATTCCGTTGAGAGCTGCCACCCCCAAAAACATAGCTAGGGAGCTAGTACAACTGTTCGCTAGGGTTGGAATTCCTAAAGAGATCTTAACTGATCAAGGGACTCCTTTCACGTCTAAAGTCATGCGAGACTTATGTAAGCTACTGGGTATACAGCAGATCCGAACCTCAGTCTATCACCCTCAAACCGACGGTCTAGTAGAACATTTTAATAAGACCCTGAAAAGCATGCTTAGGAAGACTATGCAAAAGGATGGGAAAAATTGGGATCAGCTGCTCCCGTATCTCATGTTCGCGGTTCGAGAAGTACCGCAGACCTCGACCGGATTTTCCCCATTTGAATTATGATACTCTCGGAAACCACGGGGCCTATTGGGCGTGGTCAAAGAATCATGGGAACATCAACCTTCCCCTTTACAAACTATCATTGAGCATGTGGAACAGATGAGAGAAAGAATAAACTTTATTGTTCCCATAGTGAAAGAAAACCTGGAGAAAGCCCAGGCTCAACAACAACAAATTTATAATAGGGGAGCAGTTGCGAGGGAATTTCAGCCTGGGGATAGGGTACAGGTCTTTGTTCCAACCCCAGAGTGTAAATTCTTGGCATCCTGGCAGGGGCCTTATGAAGTGGTGGAAAAGGTGGGGTCGGTCAATTATAAGGTCAAGCAACATGACAGAAGACGGCAGCATCAAATCTACCACATCAGTTTGCTGAAGAAATGGCATGGGACCGAAGTTCTGCTCACCCACTCCTCCCCTGACCCTTTGGAAGAAGAAACGGGAGCTGTAGCCACGGGAGACCTGGCTCCGGCTCAGAAACAGGAACTACAAGAATTCCTAACCCAAAACAAAGATGTTTTTTCCCGGACACCTGGTCGAACCTATCTTATATGACATAAGATTATCACGGAACCAGGGAAGAAGGTCGGACTAACCTCATATCGAGTACCAGAAGCTAAAAGGAAATTGATTAAAGAAGAGGTGGGAAAAATGCTGGAGATGGGAATAATCGAGGAATCCCATAGTGAGTGGGCTAGCCCGATAGTTCTGATCCCCAAGCCGGATGGAACTATTTGATTTTGCAACAATTTCAAAAGGTTAAATGAGATCTCGCGGTTTGATGTGTAGCGGCGAGGCTTATTAATAAGGTAGAATTAAGTG